ATTTACATAATACGAGAAATAAAGATAGTAGTAGTAGTAGTAGAAATATTTATTTAGCACATTTGGCTACAAAAACAGAACAATTGTAAACAACTTAGAACTAGTAAATTCAAGCCATATGGTGTATGGTGTAAATGCTGGGCAACCTATAATTGTAGATTTAACAAGTGATTTCTCAATTTTACTTTAAATTTTGTCAAAGTTTTCTGGTCTTTTATCTCCGAGTATAATTTATTATATACAATCAACCCTTGATGGAATACAGATTTGTAGCATATGTTATACTTTTTGGTCATTAAATGGAAGTCATCTTTACTTCTGGTATTATGTAAATGATGGTCGAAATATGATGATGTTAAATTAGTTAGACTTGATGGAAATATATTATTTTTTACTTTATAAATGAATATCATTACAAGATATTTGATAAAAATTTTTACATTGAGCCATTTTAATTTGCTAAGCATTCCCCTAATTGGAGTATATTTATCTTTATTTAGTATTATTCTCATGCACTTATTTTGTAAAATTTTCAGTCTTTCAAAAATGGAATTATTTGCTAAATATAGAATAGTCGAACAGTACAAGAAATTTGGAAGAATGATGGTATTATAGATAATTTTTCTGCTATATGAACTCAGACATCCAGAAACTCTCGATAAATATCCCACTTTACTACTAATCTTATTTATAACTTTTTCATAATGAATATCAAAAATTAATCGAGAGTCAACAAAAACTCCCAGGTATTTAAAATTTTCTACGAATTCAATATCTTCACCATCAATATTCAGTTGAACATTTGTACATTGTTTTTTTCCGATTAACAAGGCTTTCGTTTTACTTGCATTTAATTTTAGTCTGTTAGATGCTAACCATTTTGAGACAAGCTTCAAGTCTTCATTTATATAAGAGATACCAGACTGAATATTTTTAGTACTTATGTAAATCATAGTGTAATCGGCGAAAATTTGAATTTTGCATTTTTTGATTATGGCAGGTAAATCATTTATGTATAAAATAAAAACAAGTGGTCCCAGGATACTGCCCTCTGGAACACCCAACGTATTTTCAATTTTTGATGAAATAGTGTCATTAACTTTTGTAACTTGCATCCTTTTAGGCAAATAATTTCTAAACCAATCTAAAACACATCCTGTTATACCATATGTCTTCAATTTACCTAACAAAATATCTCTATCAATCGTTTCAAATGCCCTCTTCAAATCCAAAAATACTGCTATGACAACTTCTTCTGAGTCTATGGCTCTTCTCCAATTCTCAGTTACCAACTGGAAAGCTGTTTCTGTGGAATATTTTTTTCGAAAGCCTGCTTGCGCCTCTACTAAAATTTTGTTTTCTTCTATAAACTGCATTAATTGGTCATGCACTATTGACTCTAATAATTTTTCAATGTCTGGTAACACATTTACTGATCTCATATCGCTGCATCTTTTAGAATTTTGTATTTTGGGAACTGGTGTTATTGTAGAGCATTTCAAATTTTCAGGGAAAGAACTGCTTCTCAGTGAACAATTGATCCAATTTAATACAGGATATCCCAAAATTTCGAAACAGTTTTTCAGCGCGTTTTTAGTAGTCATTTCGGCACAGTTGTTATTTGATTTTAAACTGTTTACTTTTTTTCTTAGATAATTCAATGATACGCTGTGAAATTTTGAAAGTGTATGCAATATTTCCCTCTGGAAACTGATTTTCATATAGTCAGGTGCAGGATTGGCAGTCCCTACAATATCAACAATACTTTCCACAAAATATTCATTTAGTTTGTTTGCAATCACCAAAGAATTTGTTTCGGTACCGTTTTCGAATTGAACTTGATTTACACAATCATGTGGCTTCGAATTGATCAGTCTTTTTAAAGTCTTCCACATCTTTACACTGTCGCACTTGTTTTTATCGATTTGTTTATCGTAGAATTTTCTTTTTTCTTCTCTAATTACATATACACATTTATTCCTAAGAGTTTTATATACCTCCCAATCATCATTTGATTTTGTGAATATACATTTATTGTATTGTTTGTCTCTCAAATTTTGAGCTGCCTTAATATTCTTGTTATACCAGGGTGTATTTTTAGTCGAGCAAATCACTTTTTTATCAGTTGCAAGATCTAAACAAGTTTTTATATTTCCTATTATGTTGTCATATATTTTTTCCATATTCTCACCAAAACTCCAATAGCAGTCAGCAAGTTCTCGTTCAAGTTTTTCGTACTTAATAGTATTTACGATTTTCTTAATTTTTGCATCAGAAAAATGCCCTACCAAGGGCAGCATTGTCCAACTGTGATCGCTAACTTTAGGTGTATGTACAGCTTTAATCCCTGCACATTCGAAATTTACAATAACAAGATCTAACAAAGTCTCTGATAATGATGTTATTCTGGTACTCTCTTCAATTTTTTGCTTGAACCCATAGTTGTTTATGGTTTCTTTCAATTTTCTTGTTTTCATGCTTTTACCATAATTTAATGTCCAAAAAGAATATGCTACAAATCTGTATTCCATAAAGGGGATAAAAGACCAGAATACTTTACAGATTTCAATGCAAAATTGAGGAATCACTTGTTAAAGCTGCAGTTATAGCTTGCCCTGCATTTAAATCAAATGTCTTGAGTTTACTTTTAAGTTGTTTATAATTATAACTTTTACGTGTCAATAATATGTAATTTTGTGATGAGTGACTTCTTTTGGCAATATAAATTTATCCCTGTGGCGTGTGACCTTCTTCAATCTCCAGGAACATTCGTAAGTTTTTCGAAATCTGACTCAGTCCTTATGAAAAAATAGCATTTGTTTCTATATCTTTCTCGAAAAAGATCTTTAACGGAATCCGTCAAATTTAATGGAGTGTGCTGTTTCAAGTCTTACAATGAACATCAAACTTACATGTTTACACCAACTATTTTTAATTGGCCATTGGAGTGCAATTTTTTTCCAGTAAGGCGCGAATCCGCAGTGTTTTCAAAAATGCGTTACATTTTTTAGATTGTGTTGTACCCAAATCTTTGTTCCTCAAAATTGTAGCATTGAAGCGAAAAGGCGATTTACATAAATCTGATAAATATAGATTACTCGAAATAAAGTCAATGTGGCTTAGGTACCTTATTGACCCACACCCTTCAATTCTTATACAACGGGGGGCAATCCAGATGTTATAACTGCTCTATCGATAGACATCACTCAGTGTCGATTTATAAACTTTGACTTTGCCATATCACGGGCGAACCATTACCTTTAAAATCACCCAAAATTGCATTATTTTTCACATATTTGAAGACGAAACTTGTCTGCAAATCAGATGCAGTGTTTTCATCACTTGTAACATACAGTAATGGACAAAAGTATATAGACAAATATAAATATTTACCAAGATACCTTTAGAAAACGAATTCATACTTCATTGTTCCATAAACAAATGCGTTATTAGTAGAAAAACGAAATTCCTTGTTTTTACATTATCTGCAATGAACACAATACAAGTCTAAATATAAGCACTTTTTTATCAGGGACAAAAATATGTAGACAAATTCTTTTCAACATTAGTTTAGTACAGTTTCGTGTCAGAAGAGGATTAGTTTATATTCATCAAGTATTGTGGAATAAGTTGAGTGATTTTAAGACCATGCTGGGTAGTCCAGAAATTTCTTTCGATGTGAAAACTAAGATCATCGAGTTTTACAAAGATGGTCAACGTCAAGTCGACATTGCCAAAAATTTGAAGCTGAAGCGTAAAGCAGTTTGGGCAATATTGAACAAATATAAACAAAAAGGTATCTTGGAAGCCTCTACGAGAAGTGGTCGGCCTAGAAAACTAAATGCTAGATTAGTTAGATTAATAAAAGTGATTTCGTCCAAAGATCCGTTTAAAACCCCAAGACAAATAAAAGCCGAAATCGAGACAAAAGTAATGTTCAGTGTTTCTACGAAAACTATAAGTAGAAGATTAAATGATTTGAAATTATTTGCCCGAGTAAGAAGCCGCTAATCTCGAGGAAAAACCATGAGGACCGATTACAATTTGCACGGTTGCTTCTTGATTTGAGCATCTGTGACTGGAAGAGGGTATGTTTCAGTAACGAATGCAAGTTCAATATGTTTGGATCAGATAGTGTTAGACGTCCTACTGGACAAAGATTGAACCCCAAGTACACTTTGCCCACTGTCAAACATGGAGGCGGGTCTGTTATAGTTTGGGGGTGCTTTTCGGGGTTTGGGATGGGACCTTTACATACTAAAGCATGTCATGTTACCCTATATGGAAAACAATATGCCCTTAAGATCAGTCTTCCAGCAAGATAATGATCCGAAGCACACTTCAAATATCGCACAGAAATCCTTTCTGGATGAAAAAAAACCAGTTCTCAAATGGCCTTCACAGTCTCCCGATATAAACCCCATTGAAAATATATGGGAATACTTAGATAAGCCAATACGAGATAAAAATTATTTAAACAAGGATGAACTTTTTGCCGCTTTAGAGCAAAAGTGGAGGCAGATTGATGAATGTTATATCAAGAAACTTCTACATCTATGCGAGACGATGCCAGACGGTGATTGATAATAATGGTTATGCTACAAAATATTAACACAAACATGGTTGGTTTTCCATAATTCAGTGAACTTTGCTTCTTTTTTCTATAATTGTTTTGCTTTATCTATATATTAATTCGTACAAATAAAACAAAACAGTGTGAAAATTACGCGGAAGCCTAGCTGATCTGTCGCAACAAACACGTCATTTGCAGGTTCCCTTTCATTGGTTGAACCGGGAAAAAGTTCATCAAGTAATTCCTGTTTATAAACAGTTTAACATCAAGCGCATGATACAGTTCTGCGTTATGGGAACGATACCAGGGTAGTGCGGAACCTCAGAGTTTATAAATCGATCTTTATTGTCATACCTCGTAGCTCTTGGATTAAAGGTTTAATTATATCTTAAATAGTTGAAAGTTTTACCATTGCCGATCTTTGCAGGTATGGACTTTAAGTCTCCCGGTTGTGGTAATAGTCCACGGAAATCAAGAGCCACACGCCTGGGCCACAGTCACTTGGGACAATGCGTTCAGCGAACCTGGAAGAGCTCCTTTCGCTGTTCCCGATAAAGTAAGTTACATATTTTATGAAAAAAAAAACACCAAACTAGTGTGCCGTATTCAGGTAAAAGACAGTAGAGTTCATTTACTGCTTTTTTCAATTTTGACACCAATATATTTCTTTTATGGTTACCATTACAAAATATATCATTGATCACACTTTTTAACAAAAATAATTTTTTTCGATTTGTCAAAGATTTGTTAAAAAATACGAATTGGTAATGTTGAAAGTATGTATTCAAAAAAAAATTGTGTACAACACCATAATTCTTAAGCATTTTTTACATTCAACTATACTAAGTGACATATAAATCCGAACACCCAGTTTAAATGGTTTTATTTTAATGAAATTTTGTATAAGTACTTAATGAAGCATAATAAGTAAATGATAAAAATTTCAAAATGATTGCACTGCTTCAAAGCCCTTTGACCTTTAATAATGTGTGGATGCACCCTGATGTGCTACGCATTCTCCAACGCGCCTAGGCATGCTTCTGATCAGGTGGTCAATGTCCTCCTGTGGTATCTCATTCCAGGCAACCACCAACTCCTCTCGAAGTGCTTCTAGAGTCTGAGGAGGACGTTGCAAATTGAGCAATCTCCTACCCATCATGTCCCACACGTGCTCAATTGGGGATAAGTCGGGAGATCTTGGTGGCCATGGTAACAATGTGACATAATTATGTTGAAAGAAGTCTATTGTGACTCTTGCAACATGTGGTCGGGCATTATCTTCAATTTCAACGGGTCTTTTCCCTCGAAGAATCCAGACCACGGGCTGTCGATCCAATCCTTGTATTTGATGTGCGTTTCTTTTTTCGCGCGATCTAAAGCTTCCTCGCAGATTTTGTCGTATTTCTCGGCTACGTCTTTCACTTCTGCTTCTGTCACGATGCCCTGAAAATCAAATTATACGTTTTTTTTGGTACTTTTACAACGAAATAGTTTTGTTGTTGAAGATTTATTCAGCATTAACGCTACAACGTGAATTTTGTATAATGATTTGGTTACATATTTTTCTTCAATCCACTTTCTGTAATTTTACATTCTTGTCTATTAAAATTGAAATTACGTCACTATGTATTTTGATTATGCATAAAGTGATTTTTTAATTTCATCTTAAACATTCTAAAATTCGAACTCTGATATCATTATTCAATTTATTAAATAATAATGACATTAAACAGAGTTCGAATTTAAAAATGTTTAAGGTGAAATTAAAAAATCAATTTATGAATACTCAAAATGCATAGTGACGTAATTTTAGTTTTAATAGACAAGAATGTAAAACTACAGAAAATGGATTGATGAAAAATATGTAACCGAATCAAAATTCAGATTCTAGCATTAATGCTAAATGAATATTCAACAACAACATTACTATACAATAAATGATAAAAATTTCAAAATGATTGCACTGCTTTACAGCCCTTTGACCTTTAATAATGTGTGGATGCACCCTGATGTGCTACGCATTCTCCAACGCGCCTAGGCTTGCTTCTGATCAGGTGGTCAATGTCCTCCTGTGGTATCTCATTCCAGGCAACCACCAACTCCTCTCGAAGTGCTTCTAGAGTCTGAGGAGGACGTTGCAAATTGAGCAGTCTCCTACCCATCATATCCCACACGTGATCAATTGGGGATACGTCGGGAGATCTTGGTGGCCATGGTAACAATGTGACATCATTATGTTGAAAGAAGTCTATTGTGACTCTTGCAACGTGTGGTCGGGCATTATCTTGTTGGAAAGTTGGATCTGCCAGGGTGTCAAGATAGGGTAAAATATGGGGTTCTAGAACTGCGTGAATATAACGCTGCGCGTTCACGTTACCTCTGATGAAGATTAAAGGTGACCTGGAACCATAAGCTATAGCACCCCAAACCATAACTCCAACAGTGTGATGAACATGTCTTTCAACAAAAAACTGTGGATTCCTCCTTTCACCACGTCGCCTTCTAACCCTGGCACGACCATCGTGCATGCCTAAACAAAATCGAGACTCGTCACTAAAGACAATACTGTTCCATTCCTGATCACAGAGTGACCGTTGTCTGCACCACTTAAGGCGATTACGTCGGTGTTCTCGAGTTAAAGGGAGGACCCAGTGTGGCCGGTATGAAAACAAGCCAAAACTTCTCATTCGTCGGTAAACACTTCGCATGCCAATAGGTCTTCCGTATTCTGCAAACCATTCATTTGCAATGGGCCTGATACCTTACGGCCAATAATCTTAGGCGGCGATCTTCACGGTCTGTTGTTCTACGGCGGCGTCCAGTGCCCCTTGCTCTTTGCGTTCGGCCTTCTCGAAGCCATGCCTGACAACACCTAGAAAAGAAAGTCCAGCTTCCCGAAGTCCCACTATACGGCCCCTAGCAAACTCACTAAGTTGACGAAATCGTACAGGTCTCCGTACTCTAGGCATCGTAACAGATCGTAAAGGATGTCAAGAACCAAATTCCGCCAACGTTGATTCTTTACCGCGGCTGAAATATTCATTTTTAGAGCGTTAGTGAATTAAAAAAAAGCAGTATAAAAACCGGAATGTCCAACTGATAAGGCTGAACATTTTTTCACTTGTTATTTACAGTAAGATAAATACATTCACCAACTTTTATTAAAATAAAACCTTTTAAACTGGGTGTTCGGATTTATATGTTACTTAGTATATTTTATGGGCCAGTCAAAATTCGTCGAAAAAAAAAAGAGCGTGAATTAATCAAAAATGATCAGAAATCTTCATTGACATACATAGAAATGGAATGAAATATCTGTAGAGATTCAATCCATCGCATTTTGACCCAAGAATTTGGGCATGAGAAATGTGTATTTACTGTTTGTTGCGCACAAGCTCATTAGCATCATTAAATAGGCAAAAAAAACCGAAAACTTTGCGACTGGTTTCGAAACGTGGCGTTTTCAATATGCAAATGCACCGTCTCTATTCTGAGTAAAACAAATTCGATTTTCCGAAACAAAAAATGTTTGTTCTTGTTTTTTCCTTCGTGGCAGACCTTGCATTCTTTGATCAATCAGGTTCCGTGGGGCAAAGTGGCGGAAACGCTCTCCCTGAAGTTCCGCGCGGCCACGGGCAAGGCCCTAACGGAAGATAACCTTCGCTTCCTGGCCGAAAAAGCGTTCAGAGGAAATTACAACGAAACCAGCAACGCGATACTGAACTGGACTCAATTCTGCAAAGAACCGTTGAGCGAAAGGAACTTCACGTTCTGGGAGTGGTTCTACGCGATCATGAAGCTGACTAGGGAGCACTTGAAAGGGCCCTGGATGGACGGGTAAGCTTACGAAAATTAGTCTTTTTTTCCGAGTGTTTTCTCGTAAGAAACTACCGTGCAAACCGCTTATAATGGACACGGCGGTTCTGTGACAAACAGTCTGTTATAGGCGAATGACCATCTTTGTTTAACATATATTACATAAATAAAGATACATACAAAAAAGTTATACGTAATTTTGAAATTTGCATTTTTTCAGAATCTGATACACATATTACAGGTATACTGCATTTGAAGTAATCTCCAATCAATATCCCAAATTCTTCAGCCTGTATTTGTAGCATAGGTCTTCGTATTGGAAAATTATTAGCACGCTTTTGTTGAAACCATTTAAACAGCATATCATCGACTTGGGGTTGCAGCGATTGCCGCATTTTTTCTTTTGACTGTTTGCTTTCCAGTCATTTTTAATTTTGTCACGGTTTTTCCAAATATTTGACACAGTGGATTTTTTATAGCCATACGAACACATATATTTGCTTGAGATGAACCCTGCTCAAGGTCACTAATTATTGTGAACTTGAAATAATCCGCTATAAGCTAGGGTCTATTTTAAGCGAGTCTATAATATCCGCGGATTTTACATGTAATTATTTATAGGACTTTAAAATTGTGTCCACTATACAGGGTGTCCCAGAAGTCGACGTCAAGCCGAAACCGGGTGATAGGCAAAGTCATAACAGCTATCAGAAAAATATTTAAAAAAATATTGTGCATGTGTTTTGAAAATTATAGATCTTTGAAAAAGATATAGAAATTTCACACCCTACGGCAGTCTGTCAACTCCTGTTACTACAAATATCAACTTTTTTTGGATTTTATTTTTACAATGTAATGATGAATAATGCATCTTCAAACTGGTGTCTCAACCTTACTGCCAACTTTTCTCGTTCAGGAAAAATTACCAATTATTTCCCAACCAAGTATTCCAAAGTAAAACTTTGCTCAACTTTAACTGGCTGTACTGGAAAAAAATGTACTACGAGAGTTTGGCAAGTAACCTTAAAATTTAATAAGGATTCCAAAATGGTATAACACTTAGAAGATTACTCGTTAACTTAACTTAACAGCAAATGCTCAAACTGTTGTCCTTCAGCTGCAATACACGCTCGACATCTTCTTGAAAAAGATCGGGTTATTAAACGAGCGAATCCACGGTTATTAACAAACTCAGCTGCTTCCAATAGTCTTTGCCGTAGCTCAGCTACATTTTGAATCGGCTTGAAATACACTTTTTCTTTTACAGTTCCCCAGTAAAAAAAATCGAACGGATTCAAATCTGGTGGCCGAGCTGGCAACAGATCGCCCTATCCATCTGCCTGGAAAGTTTTGATCGAGATACTCTCTCACTGAGAGTGCATAGTGCGTTGGGCAGCCATCATGCTGAAACCACATGTCCCTGTAAATACTCAGTGGCACGTCCACCAATAAATTTTGTACATGATTTTTCAAGAAATCCAAATAAACTTCAGCAGTCAAAGTCTCTGGGAACTCAAACGGACCGATTATTTTACCATTTAAAATTCCTGTCCAATGATTTATCTTGAAGCGATATTGAGATTTATCTTCTCTCATCAAAAGTGGGTTTGCTACGTGCCACTCGTGTAAGCAATGCAGGTTCATGTACCCATCTTTCTTAAATGTGGTCTCATCCGACCATAAAATTTTTTCAAAGAACTGTGGATCTTTCCTGTGTCTTTCTAACATTGTGCGACAAAAAGCAACTCGGGGCTCATAATCCCGGCGCAGGAGAGGTTGAACACGCTGTATGTGGTATGGATGAAGCACATCACTTACTTGCTATTGCACACTTTGATACCGATCAGTACTCCTTCGTTTACTGCGCATCTTTACATGTTCGTGCTTCGAAGAAGACCCGAGTACTTCAGTGCGTGCAATAGAACTAAAAACAGGTGTGCCCAAAAGTACAGCCCATAGAATCTTGCAAAAAAACGTGCTCCATCCATACCACGTACAGCGTGTTCAAGCTCTTCTGCCCCGGGATTATGAGTCCCGAGTTGCTTTTTGTCGCACAATGTTAGAAAGACACAGGGAAGATCCACGGTTCTTTGAAAAAATGTTATGGTCAGATGTGACCACATTTAAGAAAGATGGGTACATGAACCTGTATAACTTACACGAGTGGCACGTAGCAAACCCACATTTGATGAGAGAAGATAAATCTCAATATCGCTTCAAGATAAACCATTGGACAGGAATTTTAAATGGTAAAATAATCGGTCCGTTTGAGTTCCCAGAGACCTTGACTGCTGAGGTTTATTTAGGTTTTTTGCAAAATCATTTAGTAAATTTATTGGAGGACGTGCCACTGAGTATTTACAGGGACATGTGGTTTCAGCATGATGGCTGCCCAGCGCACTATGCACTCTCAGTGAGAGAGTATCTCGATCAAAACTTTCCAGGCAGATGGATAAGGCGGTCTGGTACAATACCGTGGCCAGCCCGATCACCTGATTTGAATCCTTTAGATTTTTTTACTGGGGAACTGTAAAAGAAAAAGTGTATTTCCAGCCGATTCAAAATGTAGCTGAGCTACGGCAAAGACTATTGGAAGCAGCTGAGTTTGTTAATAACCGTGGATTCGCTCGTTTAATAACCCGATCTTTTTTAAGAAGATGTCGAGCGTGTATTGCGGCTGAAGGAAAACAGTTTGAGCATTTGCTGTAAAGGAAAATCATCATCAGCAGCATTTTGACGCCCACTGTTGTGCAAACAGTTATCCTTAAGGGTCCTTGTGCGTTTTCATAATCGCTGTTTAATTAGGAAATTTTGAAAAATTTTCATCAGTTTTTCTTCAAATAAAAATTGTGCATAAGTTAACGAGTAATCTTCTAAGTGTTATACCATTTTGGAATCCTTATTAAATGCGCCAACTTTTAAGGTTGCTTGCCAAACTCTCGTAGTACATTTTTTTCTAGTACAGCCACTTCAAAGTTGAGCAAAGTTTTACTTTGGAATACTTGGTTGGGAAATAAATGGCAATTTTTCCTGAACGAGAAAAGTTGGCAGTAAGGTTGAGACACCGGTTTGAAGATGCATTATTCATCATTACATTGTAAAAATAAAATCCAAAAAAAGTTAATATTTGTAGTAACAGGAGTTGACAGACTGCCTTAGGGTGTGAAATTTCTATATTTTTTTCAAAGACCTATAATTTTCAAAACACATACATAAAATTTTTTTAAATATTTTTCTGATAGCTGTTATGACTTTGCCTATCACCCGGTTTCGGCTTGACGTCGACTTCTGGAACACCCTGTATACGGGTATCCATTATAAGCACCTTCATTATAAGTGGAGTCTACTGTATTGCGACTTTGTAGAAGGTGTATTTATTTAGCTCTCATGGCCACTTGGAAACGTCTCAGCAAGAATATTGTTGTATTTAAAAACTGTTCAGTGAGGTAAACCTTCGTTGCTTCTCAATACCGTTTAATATGCATCTTTATGTATTTTAGGAGTAGAATTGACGTTCAGGAATATATCGAGATTCTTTTGAAAACACACCCATAGGAATTCTCAAAATATTAGACTATTTTTTCTTGTTTTTTTTTGCAGTGCAATAATGGGATTCGTGCGCAAGAAGCAAGCTGAAGAGATGTTATCTTCATGTCCTTGTGGAACGTTTTTGTTAAGATTTTCTGATAGTGAATTGGGCGGTATTACTATTGCTTGGGTGACAGGTAAGTTCATAACAGATAGAAACTAATCACAATGTTGTAACTAAAATAAATACACGGTGACTTGTAATGTCACGTATTCCTGTTAAGGGGTGATAGATTAGGTCAAAAGCAACCGATTTTGTCTTATAATGTCCTATCCAGAAGTTAACCGTTTTTGAGTTATTTGAATTTTATTTTTTTTTCCGATTTCAGGCGGTTAAATTTGAAATACAAAAAAACTGCGTGTTTGATTTTGAGTTTTTTGTTATCGTCGCATAGCAGACATTCCAATAGTTCATAATAAGTAATAAAATGTTGAAAACTTACAAAAGTTTTAAAATTACGCTTTTGAAATGTATGATTCTCTTATTTTTTTACTAACTTATTCGATAAAAAAATGCGATTTTCTGTAAAAAATCTCCTAGTAATGAAATGTGCAAATTATGTAAATAATATCTCTATCTAACAAGCTTTCATTTGAGGTATAAAAGTTACAATTAACTCAAGTACAAAAACATAAAATTAAAAAAGATGAGTAAAGCTGTACGAACGATAATTACGTATGATAAATAAAAGACTTTTATTTTTATTACAGTTTTATTTAATAACATTTCCTTTAGTATTGTACAGATTCTGCTCAAATTGTAATCCCCTGTTACGAATACACGCTCGCATTCTCTTACGTAATTCACTTTTGGTAACTCTAGTTGTTAAGCGGCTTTTTATTTGGTCAGCTGCACTGATTATCCTTGTAATTAATTCATCGCGCGTTGGTACGGGCGGAATATCGTACACCAGGCTTTTTATATGTCCCCACACATAGTAATCCATCGGTGTGAGATCTGGGCTTCTTGCTGGCCAGGCAATGGGCCCGCCTCTGCCAATCCATTGATTTGGAAATTTAGAGTCTAAATACGCCCGTACTAATCTACTGTAGTGTGCGGGACAGCCGTCGTGTTGGAACTGCATATTTTGTCTCATCTCCAATGGGACGTCTTCCATTAATGGAAACGAGTGATTTTTCAAGAACTCTTCATACACTTCTCCATTTAAATTGGCGGGCAGAAAATGAGGTCCAGTTAAATATCCATCAATGATGCCTATCCACACATTGACTGAAAACCGGCTCTGAGACCCCGTCGGTCTTATTTTTCATTGGTTTAAAGCTTCTTTATCAGCCCTGTAATGAGCATTATGGTAGTTAGTGATCCCGTCCTTATCAAACTTCGATTCATCGGCCCACAGAATTTTCTTAAAATAGTCTGGATCTTCTGTATCTGCATGTAACATGTACCTGCAGAAATCTAATCGTCTTGCAGGATCGCCCTCTTCAATCACATGCACAGGCGTGTAGTGATAAGGGTATAATCTTGCAGTATGCACAGTAAACCATACTTTGTATTGTGATATTCCCAACTGAGCAGCCACAATGCGCGTAGACGTAGTAGGGTCTTCCTGAAACACACGAAGGATTTCCTCTTCATCTTCAGGAGGATAGACTCGGGGTCGACCAGCATCACTATGTTGCCTTTAAACGCGTCCGGTTTGGCGGATGCGCCGATACACAGAATCAAACACAGTAACATGAGGTGTTCGGCGATTCGGGAAACGTTGCCGATATTCACGGCGGGCAGCTGCAGAATCGCCGTTACAAACTCCATAACAGAACATTATGTCTGCGCATTCTTCATTCGTAAAAGTTTGCCCGTGCTCGCTATGGCGAGGTCCTGGCGGATCTTCTGCGTCTGCCATGATGATAAAGAAACCACTCGAAATGAACTGGGAAACTCGAAAATAATAATCGTGCGTAAAACGTGTGCGCGTATCCTTTATCTGAAGTCACTTGAAACACTGTGAAATACCGGGTGCGTTTTATATATCTATATTTAACACGCTCTGTTGCTGCAAAAATCGCCAAATTTCGCAGCAAATATCCCCCGTATAAGATCAAAGGCAGTTTCACCGGTCCACGTGGAGTAAAGCACGCCTATGCGTGGACATAGCCAATGAGAAAGCGTGTATTTCTGAGCTCCGAACAAGTGCAGGTGGCTACTGAAAATTGAAACAGTTTAGCCAGTGCCGTGTAGCGGTGAATAAACGTGTTTTCTTTAGTCTGTCCGTGTTTTTCATAGATTTTATTAGTTTGTGTGTTTTTGACTTTTGAATACTCTGTTTACTTGTTGATTTAATTGTTGTGTTGATTGTTCTTGTGTGTCCTAAATATGGCTCTTTGGAGACCTTGGGAAAATGCTCCAAGCCACGAGGAGATGGTTGATGAACCTGTGCAGGCAGAATTCTTTCATAAAGATTTAGAGGAACAGACCCAAAGAGTAATCCTAAATATGTATGATTGTCTGAAAAACGAAAATCCAGATTCCTCGCAAAATCAAATTTCAAACAGAATTTGTATCCTGACAAAAATCAGTCGGTCTACCATTTATCGAGTTATAAAAAGGGGAGATGTAGTCAACCATTCCTTCCACAGAAAGCGCATGGGGCAAAAATTAAAAAGAATAGACGTGGGTTTTCAGGAAGATATTCGTCGTATAATATACGGATTTTATAAAGAAAATTTGGTGCCCACGTTGGAAATGATACGGGATAAATTAAAAGATTATCCTGAAGATTTTTATAATTACAAATGCTTAGACTCACTGCACTGTATTGTAAAACTGTGTGGTTTTCAATACAAAAAATTAAAAGAATGGTGATTATGGAGTCGTCTCGAATCGATGAATTGCGCCAAGAATTTTTGCACAAAGTTAAAATCTATAGAGAGCAGAAAAGAAATCTGATTTACCTGGATGAAACGTGGTATGATATCCATGATGTTGTGCAGTACGGCTGGGTTGACGACAGCAACAAGTGCATTTTAAATGCACCATGCAACCGTGAAAAACGAATCATTATTCTCCATGCTGGCAGTGAAAATGGATTTATACCTAATGCCTTGCTGTTTTCTGCCAAAAATATCAAAGAATCATGTGCCGACTATCATGAGGACATGACCTCCGACTTATTTGAAAAGTGGATAGAGCAGCAGTTAATACCAAACATTTCCCCAAATTCAGTGATTATTATGGACAAGGCGCCATACCATTCCCGACAGAAAAACAAAATTCCGAATACAGGCACAAAAAACATTATTGATTTTATGAAGGATAAGGGAATGGAAATACCACAAAAATCAACCAAAGCCATATTATTGGATCTTATTAAAAGACAAAAATTTGAAAAAGAGTATGTTGTTGACAATCTGCTTCAGCAAAATGGCCATGAAATATTACGTCTACCTCCCTATTACTGCATTTTTAACCCGATTGAGTTGGTCTGGGCTGCTTTAAAAAAAAGTAAGAAAACATAATCAAACCCCTCAATTAAGTGAATCGCTATTGGCCACAATAAGAGATGCAGTATCTCATATTGCTGCCACAGACCTATGGAAGCAGTGTTCTAGGCATATTATTGAAAAAGAAAATGAATATTGTGTTTTGCCTCCTGTAAATCCGCACGCCTATGATACGTCATGAAATTACAAAGGACGCGCCGACCAAAGGTTTTTATGCTATTTCAAGTAACTTCAGATATACCATACGCAGTAGTTGATACCAACTAAACCTAATTCTCACTCGGCGTGCGGCGATGGCGTAACTACTATGATGAATAATAACAGCTCTCTCTCTCTCACTCCTCGACTAAGTCAGCTCTTCTCGCTCGCTTCCTCGTCGAGCCGATGCCATAAAACAATCATGGCATGCGAGTCCTTTGAGGACAGTAACGACTTGTCCAAACAGGTAATACAAATTCCTTAAAAATCCAGCCTCTGTGGGTGTCATTGTTGTTTCTCTGCATGTACTTCAGATAATTGAACGCTTAATACCTCAAATGAAAGCTTGTTAGATAGAGATATTATTTAAATAATTTGCACATTTCATTACTAGGAGATTTTTTACAGAAAATTGCATTTTTTATCGAATAAGTTAGCAAAAAAATGTTACATTTCAAAAGCGTAATTTTAAAACGTTTGTAGCTTTTCAACATTTTATTACTTATTATGAACTATTGGAATGTCTGCTATGCGACGATAACAAAAAACTCAAAATCAAGCATGCAGTTTTTTTTTATTCGAAATCGGAATAAAACTTAAAATTCAAATAACTCAAAAATGGTTAACTTTTGGATAAGACATGATAGGACAAAATCGGTTGCTTTTGACCTAATCTATCACCCCTTGTGACATTACAAGTCACTCTGTATAACAGAACTAAAGGTAGTGTCACCTACAACTAGGTTCGAAGAGGACGTTTATTGTATGTTCAAGCAAGTTGTACCACTCTAAAATGTCAATGTGACAGTCTGACGATGCTCTAAATAGAACAAACTTTGTATATTTGTTGTGATAATCTGCTGCATTTGATATTGTTGTTTTTTTTTTCAGAGTCTGGTGAGGTGTTTAGTCTACAACCGTGGACATCCAAAGATTTCACAATACGATCGCTGGCAGATCGCATTTCCGACCTCAGTCATCTTCTGTATCTGTACCCGGACAGAGCCAAAGATATACCGTTCGCTAAGTACTACACACCTTATCAAGGTAAAATCGCAGCTTAAACGCACGTAAAACATTTTTTTAATTATGTCGAAACAGCCGCGCAGGCTATGAGGAGCTTAAAAAACTTTTGTTATCCCATTTTTGAACTGCCTAAATACAGTAGAACCCCGATTTTCCGAAATAAGTGCTTTCGGATAATCGAAATTTCGGATAACACGTAAATAAATATTTAAACTCATAATGCTTTTATTGAAAAAAGTTTTGCATATGGAAATAAAACAATACTGTAGGTAGTTTTAAATGACTTTATTGTTTTTCGAAGTATTCTCCACGAAGATTAATACACATCTGCATGCGCTCGAACCAATTTTCGAAGCACTTATTCTACTCGTATGCCGGCAGACTTGAAACGGTATTTTTGAATGCGTCAACTGCTTCTTCTGGTGACTGGAACCTTTGACCACGCAGTCTGTTTTTAATTTCACTGGGCAACAAAATTTTAACTTTGTCATGCCACACGGACTTTTTTGATATTTTTTTACTTTAATTGGTGATTGTAAGAAAAAATAAACAGTTAAAAAAAATTTGCTAGACAAGGATTTTATTCTATTGAGTAATTTAAAATATTAAGAAAAAACACAGATCTCGTAAATCAAAAGTTATTTTTTTTATAAATGACTTAATAATCTAAGATTTTCTTGAATATTTAGCTTCTGGTTGGTCCCTTTTAATTGTCCAGCAGTAATCTGCTAACATATTTGGGCTCCATTTGCCCTGGTACCGCTTTTCCATATTAGAAATGTCCTGATGGAACCTCTCACCGTGCTCGTCGCTGACAGCCCCTAAATTGTCAGGAAAAAATCCAGGTGTGAGTCTAAAAAATGGATCTTAAGTGACATGTTGCAACCCAATGCTTGATATGACAATAATAGCTCGCTAACCAACTCTCTGTAGCTGTCACTCTTGTGGTTACCCAAAAAATTTGAAACAACATTTTTAAAAGCCTTTCATGCAGATGTTTCTAAATCGCTTAATTTTTCTTCAAATCTTGAATCTTTTATTAACTCCCTAATTTGAGGGCCAACAAAAATACCCTCTTTTATCTTTGCATCACTTATTTTAGGGAATTTTTCTTTTAGATACAAAAATCCACTCCCATTGCGATCCATTGCCTTCACAAAATTTTTTATTAATCCTAATTTGATATGCAATGCTGGTAGAAGCACATTATTTGACTGTACAAGGGGTAAATACTTTACGTTTTTTTGCCCAGGAACTAACGATGCACGCGTAGGCCATGTTTTTTTTATATAGTGATTAGTTCTGTCTCGGCTATCCCATAGCAGCAAAACTTTGTATAACCCAGTTGAAGTCCAAGTAATAGTGCAACAACTTTAAGATCACCGCAGATTTTGAAGGAATATGTACTGTAATTTATTTTTTCAAGTAAAAGTTTCATATTTTCATAGGTTTCTTTCATATTTCAGAGGTACAGACGGAAGCTTATTTCCATTATGCAATAACACTGCTTTTAGACTTGCTTTCGAAGAATCAATGAATAAACGCCACTGAGAGAGATCAAAATCTATGTCCAACATTTTCATAATCTCATTTATGTTATTGCAAAACACCAAATCTCCATCCTGACAAAAATACGTTCTGAAGTGTTGATCACGGTTTCGAAAATAGCTAACTTTTGTATTATGATGTAGCAAATTCCATTCTTTTAGACGTGATCCTAATAGTTCTGACTGCTTTTTTGACAAATTTAAATCCCAAACCAAATCATTTAGGTCTCCTTGAGGTATCAAATGTGGCTCGTTTACAATTCCTTTTAACTCAAAGTCATCGTCCTGGTCAACACATTCACCTGAAGTGGACGGTTGTGAATTGTTCTAAACAGACGTAGTTGCAACTGGTATTAGTTCTGGCAATTTTTTACAATGAGAGACTGCTCTTATAGCCGAAGATAAGTTAGGGTAAATAACTGTGGTTTTTTTCTTGTAATTTATACCTTTTATGTCTGTGAGACAAAAATAGCAATCTGAAACGTGATCTCGCTGTTCAGTCCATATCATGGGTACAGCAAACGGCATAGGTCGTGCACCTTTCTTCCAGTCAGTTAAATTGTTCACACACGTTATGCAACAGACATGAGGGGCCTGGGATTTGTCTTGATGGGCGACAGAAAAACCAAAACATTGGTGATAACACTCCAACACAAGATTCGTAAAATTTCGTCGTTGTTTTTTGAATGTTACTTCTCCGCAGACATAACAAAAAGAGTTAGGATCGTTATTACACTTCCTCGACATATTCACAGGGTCAATAAATCACAAAAAAGTGTTCAAATTCAACAACAAATATTTTTATAAGGATTTACTTGTAAGCGTTTCTGTTAATTTACTGCCGTAGTACTAGTTATGAGTATTACCGTATCACAACAAATATGAGGCTAATAGACATATGACAGCTGTCATGTAATAATGAGGGTAGACTGATAAAACAAAATTAGCTGTCAAAGTTCGTGTGGCAAAACCAGTGTTGACCAGTGTTTTCGGGAAAGTAAAGAAATAGTTTTCTTTCGTTAAATACTGACTTGTTTTTTGGGCTGTGTGCGAGCTTGCATTGTCTTGCTGGAGGATGATTCTTCTTTAGGGGATGATTTTTCGAAGCTCGGTGATGACTTTTGGCAAACAAATGGTGGTATACCAATCTGCTGCTCTGGATAAAACGCATTTCGGTTAATCGGGGTTAATATGGTTTTTGAATTGTGGAGAGCCGCGGGACTGTGAGCGCGTTCTCGACCGCCAGGTGCCTGACGATTCTGGATGTAAAGTTTGGTTTCTTCACGGACAGCTGGTTCGTGCTTATTGGGTGTCTTTTGGGTCGGACCGACGAAAGGATTACAAATAGTAGAAATCTAAAAAAATAATAATCCGTTCTAGATAATCAACCAGCGACGAACAACGGTTACGTGAGACCCCAGCTGGTGACGCACGTACCTGGTTTCACTGCGCACAGTTATCCCAACACGCCGCAACACTTCTTGCAGTCACCTGATCCATCCAGAGACACACCTTCAGTTGTCAGCAGGTAGGAATCTCATTTTTTCTTCACGCAGGTTGCTCCTTCTTGATGTGATATTCTTCAGGTCATTACGTAAAAAAGTAATTTCGCTAAAATAGTAGAGAGCCGAACAAAAATTTTGACGGCGATAGCAAATTATGATAGTGGGAAGAGTTTTTATGACCACTGAAGAGAACCGTAATAATTTGACAGTCATGATTGGTCGTTCATTTTTTTCGCTTTTGACGTGAAGCTAACGGCAAATTTTCAAAACTTTTGTAGTAGTATGGTATGAACACCTGTTTAATATCGTTGTTAGAAACTGTTAGGAAATGTTAGGCTTGTTAATTTCACTGGACAACAAATTTTAGTTTTTTAATTGTATCTTGTGGGAAAAGTGCACTTCTTTGTTAATTTTGGGGCGCTGAATCCAAAAATGACAATGAAATAAAAAAATTAGTTGCGGTTTAGAAAAAAAACTTTTTATTTTTAAGGATATATTAAAAAAAGTAACAAGATTCATATACTTATAAGAATCACTATATGCGCTGTCTTTTTGCTGTTCTTTTATGGATCGTTTCTGGAGCATCTCTACCAAGAGCCCAACAGTAGTCTGCAAGCATGGAAGGATTCCACTTTCCCTGGTACCTTTTTTCCATTGTTGAAATATCCTGATGAAAACGTCCGCCGTGCTCATCACTTACGGCTTCGCAATTGTCAGGAAAAAAGTCCAGGTGTGAGTGTAGAAAATGTATCTCAAGAGACATATTACAACCCATCTTTTGATATGATGACAGCATATTTTTGACAAGGGTTTTATAGTTGTCAGCTTTTCTATTTCCCAAGAAATTAGTGACCACCAGACGGAAATCATTCCAAGCAGTTTTTTCAATACCTGTTAAAGTGTTTTCAAACTGTGTATCATTCAAAATATTTCTAATCTGTGGCCCAACAAAAATACCTTCTTTAACCTTTGCCTCACTTAGTCTTGGAAATTTCTGACGCAGATATTGAAAAACTGACCCATTTCTATCTAATGCCTTGACAAAGTTTTTCATTAGGCCCAACTTGATATGCAGTGGTGGTAATAAATTTTTTTTCGAATCTACTAATGGCATATGCTGTACATTTTTTTGACCTGGCTCTAGGAATTGACGAACAGGCCAGTTTTGTCTGGTGTAATGAAGTGCCTTTGCCCGACTGTCCCATTCACACAAAAAACAGCAAAACTTTGTGTAGCCTAGCTGCAGCCCAAGTAAAAGTGCAACAACTTTCAAATCGCCACAAATATGCCATTGGTGCTCATCGTATTTTATGCATGTCAATAGGTACTTCATATTGTCATATGATTCTTTCATGTGAACTGCATACCCTACAGGAAGAGATGGTAAAATATTTCCAATATGCAATAACACTGCCTTTAAACTTAATGTTGAACTGTCTATAAACAATCTCCATTCTTCTGGGTTATAGTTTATATTTAAAGCCGCCAGTAAGCCGTTAATGTTACTGCAGAAAACCAAGTTATTCTCCATATTGAAAAATGGTTCTAAGTCTTTGTGGCGTTTACGAAAAACACCTACCGAAACATCGTCTTCTAACAAGTTCCACTGCTGCAGTCTTGATCCAAGTAACTCTGCCTTACATTTTGGAAGTTCTAAATCTCTTACAAGATCATTTAATTCTGACTGTTATTTTGTGCGGTTGGTGGCATGACGTGCTCGGTATAAAATCAGGATCTCTTGACGTTGATGGCATATCTTCTTCCTGACGAATCACTCGATCGCCATGATCTGATTCGTTTTCTGATTCGCAAGTGTAGGATTCTGGGGGTTTTGGAATAGGATTTTCGTCACTGTGAGGCACAGGTCTCATCGCAAATGGTATGTTTGGGTAGTTAATAACCGATTTTTTTTTCTTGGACATACCTGTGGCTTGTCCGACACAAGGTACCATGCAAAAGTAACAATCGTTAATATGATTTGTAGGCTCTCTCCAAACCATTGGGACAGCAAAGCGCATAGGCCGTTTTTTGCCATTTAACCAGCTTCTCAGACTTGAAGCACATGTATTACAGCAAATGTGAGGTGCCCACTGTTTGTCTTGATCACCTAGTTTACAACCGAAATAAAGCTGATATGCCTTTGTTATTAGTGGAGTAATAGACCATCTCTGAGACGCAAAAGTCACATCACCACACACGTAACAAAACTGATCTGGATTGTTTACACACTTTCGAGACATCTTGCATGAACGCTGTCAGCCAACTGAGGAAAAAATGGCTAATATAAAACAATATAATGTACACGTATGTATAACGTAACACAATCATGCCGATTACATCATCTTTCCTTGCCGAATATAAAAACGTAGCACGTGCATTCTTGTGAATTTTAGTATGTTAACACTGTCACAGCGGGAACACATATAATTACCGTATCTCTAAAACTTGAACTAATATTGAAAAAATAAGTTTCATTCCGGTTTTAGCACATTAAAAATAGTAATATTTTATTTAGGATACTTTTTGGCTGTTGATCAGTGTTTTTTTATGGAAAATTTTCTGTGGTATTTGTGTCCAAACCTGACAAGAAATGAATTGGTTAAGAATCATAGACCGACAGAAGTACAAGTGATGTCTGCAGATCTACAATAAAGGACTCCCGTGCCACATTGCATATACAGGGTGTCCCAAAAGTCGATCTCAAGCCGGAAACGGCACGGGTATTACGTCTCTTGAAAAGTGACATTTTATCGTTTTTTTTTTGACGTTTTGTAGGTTTTTTGTGTCTTAACGAAGGTTTTTCTACTTAGCACAAGCTGTTAACTCGTTTCGTAGCTGTACGCGTTGCATAAACGTAAGCGAACAGCAATCATAGCGATCAAGATGACATTTTATCGTTTTTTACATAATAGCCCTGCCGTTTCCGGCTTCACGTCCACTTCAAGGTCACCCTGTATAACAAAAATAAGAACATTTCAGTTCATTTAGAACACTGCCTATTCCTTGCACTTATTTTTATCTGTCATCTAAAACTCGTATTTAAATTATATCATGCTTTTATAACTTGAAAGCTTACCCTACCTGGCTTTACGAATTCCGATAACAGCGCTGAATAAGGCAAAAAAGAAGCCTAATCTCCGTAGCTAATGGTGCTAACTTATTTTGATAATGGATAACAAAGGTTCGTCCTGCTTCTGAGCAAAATCGAAATAAGCAGCCAAACAAGAGCTCCAAAAACTCTCTAGTATACCTCTGAAATTAATTTTGAAATTTTTCAATTATTTTCTGTTCTATTAATCTTTTCCTGAAAGTTATCTGAAGAATTGCACCCTGAATTAATACCGCATCATTAAGGGCGATCCTGTATAATCAGTGAAGCTTTTCAAGTGTTTTATACGATTCATTTTGGAAATCATTTGCTCTACACCATTTGTCAAAGGACCCGCCACAAAACATATGGAAAATGGGTCTCAGTCGATTTATCTAAAAATATGTCGGGCGAAGAGCAAAACAAAAAACTGGAATAGTCCATAAATTACAATACCCTAAAGCTGTGTTCACATTATTGCGCTTTTTCTTTCTCTTTCGGCTTCAAAATCACAATTGACCTTTTAAACGTTATAATCAAAGACACCTGAACAATAATAAACTTAAATTAAGCAGTAATAATATAAAATTTTTGTCAATAGGGAAACATTTAGCTGACATTACACTTATGAATAAAAAATTTAAGCAATCGAATCATTCAAATATGTGGGTATATATGTGGATAGCAGACTACTGTTTCAACAGCATTACGAATTTATTATTTCATAAATATTAAAAAAGATAAATTCTATAGAGTTTCCTATAATCGGTATGTGTCCAAAAAAATGTGTATAACATCATACTTCTTCCCCATTTTTTATATTGCTCAACTATTTTCTTTACAGCAAATGAAAGCATATTTTCAAAATCACAAATTCTACAAAATAAAGCAATGAGAATCATTTTAAATAAAAACAAATATGTTAGGATTAAGTATATGTTAGAATAACTACAACGGTTGAATGTAAAAAATTTCATATGTTATTTAGTTCTCATTTTCATATTCAAATTAAAAGAATCATTTATTACCACCACAAAAGTCATTATCATAACTGCGAAACTAGAGACAGTATAGATTTTCATCTGCAAAATTGTAATAGTAGCATAACTAACAAATCTGTATTTCAAAAGATAGTAGGAGAGTATTTATACAGTATATTAAAGAGTGTTCGAATTTAAAAATTTGTGGAAATTAAAAAATCACTTTATGAATACCCAAAACGTATAGTGATGTAATTTTAATAGACATATTGTAAAATTACAGAAAAATGATTCAGAAAATGTTTAAAAGAGTACTTATACAAAATTGATATTGTAGCATTAATGCTAAATAAATCTTCAAAAAACAAAATCACGACTATTTCGTGTGCTTGTGAATTTTCGAAAAACTCGTGTAATTTCAGTGTTAAAAATAAGCTTGCCTTTAAATTGACGCCTTTCAACGCCTTCCTCAAACATTTTCAAATGAAATACTTTCTTTTTATAACATTTTTCTGAGCGAGAAATATATCATGCTCATTTTTTAAACAATTCGGCTGGGAACCATTTTCCATATGTTTTGTGCGCGGTCCTTTACTAAAATTTATTTTTTTACTTGCACTTGGAAAGCTTTCAATGTTCATCCACTTAGCGTATTTTTTTATACTAATATCCGGTCTCTTTTTTTGTGTTCAGCTTCCCAAATATGCTTGAATTACAATAAGAGCTCGGTTTAAAGAAGTTATGGGACCAGATTGATTTAAAAAAAATCATATATACATTTAAATATCTGTGACCGTTTGTGCTTTATTTTAAGTGATATAGTTTAGTAAGATTTTTTACTTATTTTTTATTAGAGTTAGCTATTTTTTTTGAACGATCTTTTTATATTGCGAAACGAGCTTAACTTAGGGAAAATTAAAAAAAAATTAACATACTTATGAAGTAATTAAAGATA